ACTGTTCTGTGTGTATGTGCTCTGTTGATGGAACAGAAATATTTGCATCAGTAATAAAATGAAGATACTCATCACTCTTGCATTTTTATTATACATTTATTTCATTAAATTTATAATCCTCATTTCAGCAAAATCATTACTTACAGTTTTCTAATGAAGATTATTAAACAAGTTCTGTACTTATTAACATAAATGATTGATATAATACACTTTCATAAATGTATAAACTACAGACAAAAACATACAAGTGGGACCTGATTAAATCAAAAAGCTTCTGCATAGCCAAGGAAACAATCAGTAGAGCAAACCTACAGAAAGGGAGAAAATATCTGCATGCTGTATATCCAATAAAGGGATAATAACAGAATCTACAAAGAATTCAAGTGAATAAGTATGAAAAAATCAACTCCATTAAAAAGTGAGCAAAAGTTATGAACAGAAGCTTCTCATAAGAAAATAGACTAATGGCCAATAACCATATGACAAACTGCTCAATGTCTCTAATCATCAGGGAAATGCAAATCAAAACCACAATGAGATACCACCTAACTTCAGTGAGAATGGCTTTTATCAAAAAGTCCCAAAACAACAGATGCTGGCATGGGTGTGGAGATAAAGGAACATGTATACATTGTAGGTGGGACTACAAACTAGTACAACCTCTATGAAAAGTAGTATTGAGATACCTCAAAGAAGTAAAAATATATCTATCATTCTATATGACAATCCCACTATGGGGTATCTACCCAAAGGAAAAGAGACATTTTGTAAAAAAGATACTTGCACTCCAATGTTTATTGCAAAGATGTGGAAACAACTCAAGTACTCATCAATATATGAATGGATCTAAACAAAGTGTAAAATTATTTTTTCTATAACCGTGAAGAATGATGTTGGGATTTTAATATGGATTGAATTGAATCTGTAGTTCAGTTTGGGTAATATAGACATTTTAACAATGTTGAGTCTGCCGGCCCAGAAGCATGGTATGAATTTCCATCTGTTTACATCCTCTGCTATTTTCTTCCTCAGCATTTCATAGTTTTCCCTGTAGAGGTCTTTTACCTCCTTCATTAAGTATATTCCTAGGAACTTTATTTTCTTTGTTGCTATTGTGAAGGGTATTGAGTCTTTGATTTGGTTCTCAATTTGATTGTTATTGGCATATATGGATGCCTCTGATTTCTGTGTATTGATTTTGTATCCTGAGACTTTACTAAATTCATTTATCAATTCTAGGAGTCTCTTGGTTGAATCCTTGGGATTTTCTAAATATAATATCATATCATCAGCAAACAGTGAAAGTTTGATCTCTTCTGCCCAAATTTGGATAAGGTACCTTTAATTCCACTTTCATGTCTGATTGCTATAGACAGGACTTCCAGCACTATGTTGAATAGAAGTGAAGATAGTGGGCAACTTTGCCTGGTTCCAGTTCTAAGTGAGAATGCTTTCAATTTTTCCCCATTCAGTATGATGTTGGCTATGGGTCTCTTTTATATGGCTTGTATAATTTTTAGGTATGTCCCTTCTATGCCTGTTTTATTAAGTGTTCTTATCATGAAAGGGTGTTGAATTTTGTCAAATGCTTTTTCTGCATCTATTGAAAGAATCATATGGTATTTGCTTTTGATTCTGTTTATGTGGTGAATTACATTTATAGATTTATGTATATTGAACCATCCCTGGATCACTGGGATGAAGCCCACTTGGTCATGATGGATTATTTTCTTAATAAGCATCTGGATTAGGTTAGCTAGGATTTTGTTGAAAATTCCTGCATCTATATTCATAAGGGATATTGGTCTGTAGTTTTCTTTTTTTGTTGCATCCTTTCCTGGTTTTGGTATCAGGGTTGTGTTCACTTCATAAAAGGTGTTGGGGAGAATTCCATTCTTCTCGATGTTGTGGAATAATTTCTGCAAGACAGGCACCAGTTCTTCTTTATATATGTGGTAAAATTTCAGTGTGAAACCATCTGGGCTGGGACTTTTCTTTTTAGGAAGATTTTTAATTACTGTTTCTATTTTGGTTCTTGGAACCAGAGAAGACTCAGTATTATCAAAAGCAATTGTAGGCAATAAAAACAAAATGGGAGGTATCAATATGCCACATTTCAAACTATACTACAAGGCTGTAGTAATTAAATCAATTTGGTATTGGCACAAAAATAGGAATATTGACCAGTGGAACAGAACTGAGAACCCTGATATAAAATCATCCTCATATAGCCATCTAATGTTTGACAAAACAGACAAAAACATCCACTGGGAAAAAGAATCCCTATTCAATAAATGGTGCTGGGAAAACTGGATAGTCACTTGTAGAAGGCTGAAGCAGGATCCACACCTTTCACCTCTCACAAAAATCAACTCACGCTGGGTAACAGACTTAAACCTAAGGTATGAAACTATTAGAATTCTAGAGGAAAATGTTGGAAACACTCTCCTAGACATTGGCCTAGGCAAAGAATATATGAAGAAGACCCCAAAGGCAATCACAGCAGCAACAAAAATAAATAAATGAGCCCTGATCAAACTAAAAAGCTTCTGCACAGCCAAAGAAACTGCCAAGAGAGCAAACAGACAAGCTACAGAATAGGAGAAAATTTTCGCATCCTACACATCTGATAAGGGGCTGATAACTAGAATCTACTTAGAACTCACGAAAATCAGCAAGAAAAATTTAAATAACCTTATCAAAAAGTGGGCAAAGGACATGAACAGAAACTTTTCTAAAGAGGACAAAATAATGGCTAACAAACATATGAAAAAATGCTCAACATCTCTAATCATCAGGGAAATGCAAATCAAAACCACAATGAGATATCACTTATCTCCAGTAAGAATGGCCTTTATCACAAATTCCCCAAACAATAGATGTTGGCCTGGATGTGGAGAGATAGGAACACTCCTACACTGCTGGTGGGACTGCAAACTTGTTCAACCTCTGTGGAAAGCAATATGGAGATACCTTAAAGCAATACAAGTAGATCTACCATTTGATCCAGCAATCCCACTACTGGGCATATACCCAAAAGAACAAAGGACAATCTACAAAAAAGACACCTGCACCCGAATGTTTATAGCAGCACAATTCATAATTGCAAAGCTGAGGAAACAACCCAAGTGTCCATCAATACATGAGTGGATTAATTAAATGTGGTATATGAATACCATAGAGTACTATTCAGCTCTAAGAAATAATGGTGTTATAGCACCTCTTGTATTTTCCTGGACAGAGCTGGAACCCATTCTATTAAGTGAAGTATCCCAAGAACAGAAAAATAAGCAATGCATATACTCACCAGCAAATTGTTATTAACTGATCAACACCTAAGTGGACACATAGGAATTACATTTATTGAGTATTGGGGAGGGAGGTAGAAAGGGGCTGGTATATACCTATATAATGTGTGAGATGTGCACTGTCTGGGGGATGGTCACACTTGAATGTCAGACTTATGGAGGGAGGGGGGACAAGGGCATTATTCGAAACCTTTAAATTTTTACCCCTATAATATGCCAAAATAAAAAAATATATATATACGAATAGATCTATAAAATGTGGTATATGTATACCATGGAATATTACTCAGCCATAAAAAATGGTGAAGTAATACCTTTTGTAACAACCTGGGTGGAACTGGAGACCATCCTTGTAAGTGAAGATTTCAACAGAAATCCAGCAGGTGGGAGTGGGGACGAGGGGATGGGTAAATTCACACTGACTGGGTACAAAGTACACTATCTTCATGATGGACACACTTATAACTTTGACTCAAACTATACAAAAACAATCCATGTAACCAAAACGTTTATACCCTGTAATATGATGAAATTTAAAAAAAATAAAATGCAAAAAAATGTAAACTAACAATGTAAAGCTTTAAAAATATACTTCATGTGTCTTCAAAATATTTTTCTGAAATATTCAAAATTATTTATTAAAATTGAAAATGAAATTGAAAATTAAAAAAACAAATCAAAACATTTAAAAAGTACAGTGTTTTTTTTTATTTCAAAATATTAAGGAGGTACAAATGTTTTTGTTACTTGAATACCTTTTATAATGCTTACATCAGGGCTATTAGTGTGGCCATCACCCGAATAATGTTCATTGTACCGGATAGGTAGGTTTTTATCCCTCTCCTCTCCCCCTTCTCTGTTCTTGATTTCCAATGACCTTTACATCTCTCTGGGACCATGTGTGCCTATCAATTAGTTCCAAATTATTAGAGAGTACATGTGGTGTTTGTTTTTCCATTACTGAGATACTTTACTTAGGATAATGGTATCCATCACCATCCAAATTGCTGCAAAAGACATTATTTCATTTCTCTTTATGCCTGAGTAGTACTCCATGGTGTGTGTGTGTGTGTGTGTGTGTCTGTGTGTGTATAATTTTGTTAATTCACCCATGAATTGATGGGCACTTACTTATGTTGATTCCACATATTTGTGATTGTGAAATGTGTTGCAGTAAACATTTGGGTACAGTTTTCTTTATGAAAAAATGACTTCATTTCCTTTGGATAGATACCAAATAGTGGGATTGCTGGGTTTAATGATAAGTCTACATTTAATTCTTTCAGAAATCTCTATACTGTTTTCCATAGAGGTTGTATTAATTTACAGTCCTACCAACAACGTATAAGCATTCCTTTCTCTCTGCATCCGCACCAGAATCTGTCATTTCTTGACTTTTTAATAATGGCTGTTCTGACTGGGGTAAGGTAAGTAATTTTTACATTTTTTACTTGATGTCCTGAATATTGTTTTGGCTTCATTTTATTGGTTTTCAACTTTCTCTTCAATTTTGTTCATCTAATTGCCATCCATATTCTGAATTCCATTCCTGACATTTTCAATTCTTTCCTTTTGGTTGGGGTCTACTATTATAGATCCATTGTGATCCAGTGGAGATGTCAAACTATGTTACTTTTTCATGTTGCCAGAGTTATTTTGCTGATTTGTTCTCATCTGAATCCTCTTCTTCAGCTCAAGGTTAGAGATCCAAGGAAGTATCTGGGAGCGGGGAGAGATCTGTGGACAACCTTTGTATTCCCTCCAATGAAGGCATAAAGATTAGAGGAAGGATATCATTACCCAGAACATTCTAAATTTCAGGGTAATTTTAATTTTCATTGGACTACTGTAATTTTGTTTTCTCTTTTAGTCATTTTTAGATTTTTCTTGTTGTTAATGGAGTTATTATGTTAACTACATAAAATGAATAGTCAGTATTTTACTTTATTTTACACAATCTGTGATAAGCTATGTAAAATGAGAATTGCATGTTCCCTAGGAGTTTGAAAGAACTTTGAATAAACCCATAGAGCTTTGAAAAATTTTATTTTGAGAATAAAAGAGATAATATTTAAAAGTTTTACCAAGCAAAATCCTTCTAATGCCATTTTTTTTTTTTTTTTTTTTTGAGACAGAGTCTCACTTTGTTGTCCAGGCTAGAGTGAGTGCCGTGGTGTCAGCCTAGCTCACAGCAACCTCAAACTCCTGGGCTCGAGTGATCCTTCTGCCTCAGCCTCCCGAGTAGCTGGGACTACAGGCATGTGCCACTATGCCCAGCTAATTTTATATATATATATATCAGTTGGCCAATTAATTTCTTTCTGTTTATAGTAGAGACGGGGTCTTGCTCTTGCTCAGGCTGGTTTTGAACTCCTGACCTTGAGCAATCCGCCCGCCTCGGCCTCCCAAGAGCTAGGATTACAGGCGTGAGCCACAGCGCCCGGCCTAATGCCATTATTTTTAACAGTCAGTTAGTCAGGATAGACCACTGCTTTACAGCATTCTGGATCCCAACAAAAATTATCAATCAGCTAATTTGTTCACAGATGATTTATTTTACTGGATGACTTCTATATTATTTCATTTTTAAAACATTGACTACATTTAAAAGATATTTTCACTTATATTAAGGATTGTACATATGTTTAGACAATTTTGGAATCAAAAAATTTTTTTAATTCTAAAACTTATTAAAATTTTATGTATAGGTATTCTGTTTTACACACACATACACACAGACATATGCCTGTGGCAGTTTTTAATTCTTATTTTTTTAAAAAAATTTAGAAAATCATGAAACTATTTTTTTCCTTTTATTTCAATTCTATTTATGATTATATGGGCAGTTAAGTTTAAATATAGAGTACATATATCTTCAGTTAAAAGGAAATGTTTATTTTTTGCTGTTCAATTAACACCTGCCTAATGATAATCTACATTGTTTATTTTATTTTCAAAATAGAGCATGCCCATAAGGACTTCTTCCTACTGAGGAACATAGAGTGATTTTTAAAAGTGTTTTAAAGATTGATTGAAGTATTACTTGACCTAAGGAATTTAATTCCGCCAAACATAAACAAAAGAAAGCAAATGCATATTTGCTTGTCTTGAGGTCCGAAAGTTAATCTTTGGTCTACAATTAAATTAAGGGTCCACTGAGAACATCTTGTGTTAACTTCCTAAAAATTAATTCTAAAGAAGAGATTCAATAGCACCAAGGTTCATTGTTATAATGAAGGAGGTAAAAATAGTTTTTATTATCTTCATTGATACACTTTTACAAAACATCACTGGCACCTGGATTCTAAAGGGAATGTGAATTATTTTTGCATATTTGTCATTTGGAGTTATGTCAAAATATTAAAAATATCCATCTTTTTACTCTTAATTGAATTTAAATGCAATAACATCCAAACATAAATAGCATGAGAACAGGAAGGGAAAAGAGTAGTTGACACTTTGCATAGCATAACTTGGTTCTCAGCAACATGGACAAGGGAAGATGATACAATTACAGGATACCACCAAATATGTGACTTCATTCATCCATTCACTCAACATTTAGACAATGAGCATTAACAATATGTTAAATATTGTTCCAGCTATCAGGTATGTAATGATGAGCACACACACACACACACACACACACACACACACAAAATAACCAAGAACAACAAAAAAAAAAAAAGAAAGAAAGAAAAAAATGAAACTCTCATGGAGATTAAGGCATTAGGGCTGTTCAAAATTTAACAAAGATTCTCCAGAGAAATGTGAAATTATAATTACAAGTTTTATAAGTGCTACAAAGGATAGGTAATGTTTGAGATATTATAATATCATCAATTTAACCTTGTAGGAAGATTAGAGAAGCATCTCTATATATAGTGATTATTATATATCAGAAATTCTTCCAGTTCTTAGCATGAATTTTGTAATTTTTACAACTCCTCTATGAGCTATTTACCTTCTTTATCCTTGTTTTACCTGTTAAGAACTGAGGCACAGAGAGATTAAACAGCCTGCTAAAAGTTGCACAAGTATTAAGTGATACAGCCAGAAGTGGGATCCATTCAGTCTGGTGCCACAGCCTACAATTTTAACCCTTATAATATTAATGCACTGCCCCCCACTGAGTTCCTAACTATAATGTCAAGAGGAGTTTATTAGCCAAGCCTCATCAGGTTGATTAAGCAACAGTCATCAAGGGAACAGTAAAGATAGTTCAGGAGAGAAGAATAATTATAACATTAATGATTATAACTCAAATATGCAGCAACCTTGTGAATTAGAAAGGCAGAGTAGGAAGGAAAAATGTATAACTAACATTGAATCTAGTTTATAAAAACAGTAAGTAGTTTTCATCTAACAGTTTGCATAGGAAACTACATAAACTCAATTAACAGAATGAAGATAAATTGTTTTTATAAATAACCCCTGTCTCTGACATAACACTTGGTGTCTACTTCCAATCTTGCTACTTAAAGCTAAATGACCTTAAGTAAGTCATTTGTCTTTCAAATTTGGTTTTATAAACTGTCTAATGATAATTGAATTACCTTTCCCGAAATCAAAGGTACATAGCCTTTTCCTCACATAATTCTGACATTGAATTTGCTTTAAAGTTAACGTGCACTTTTATTGTGTTTATATTTGTGAAAATCTCTTGTTAAATTAGCACTAAATCTTAATAAATAATGTTTTCATTTATTTATACTTCAAATATTTATAAAGTCCTGTTAAAGACACTGGACAGATACAGTGAACAAAATAAAAGCAGGCACAATTTTGGAGTTTACATTCTATAGGAGAGGAAACAAAATTAACAAGTAAGCCAAAATACATATAAATAAAATTTAAGTTAATAATTGAATATGAAACATACAGAAGCCATTCACAGATGGATAACTAGTGTGTGTGAAAATCAAACACCTTTCTCCAATATACCAATGGAAGTATGCCTTAATGAAGGAATATATAAATATGCCTAAGTAAAATATAAATCATGGTGTAACTACTCTTTGCTTAAATGCTTCACCTTCTGAATCCAATATAATAAAAAATAATTGATTATTTCTTAATTTCTATATTTCACATTCATTGTGAAAAATGTTTACCATACTTATATATTACAAATATTTAATATACTTCTGCAGTGGAGCTTCTACCATAGGAAAGCTAATTAAGATTGTAAATTCTGTTATAAAGTTTTGCTTTCCTATTAACCAAAAATAAATAAATAAATAAGAGAGAGAGAGAGAGAGAAATCATTTTTTGCCTCATAAAACTCATTTTCCAGTTATTGGATTTTTTTACACATAATTATACTTCTAGTATTTTCTGTTTTCTTTCTTAATGTCAAATTCATCTCCTCATTCTATTGAATAGATCCATCTATTGAATGGATCAAATTTATTGTCAATGAACACTCAGGATCTAAGTTGTTTCTAACATGCTCAACATTTTCTGGTATTTCTAGTAACCACTCTTTACAAAAAATGTTTTACAACTTCTCTTTCCTTTTCAAATTTCAGAACTCCTTATCTTTCTTTTCCTTGAAAAGTCAACCTTTCCTTATGTGTCAGCTTAAATCTTTACTTGAGGTCTTTCCTGACTGCTTAATTTAAATATAAATCCACTCATATTGTTCTTTTTAAAATATTAATATTTAATATTTCCTTCATCTATCACATTTCATAGGTATTGCTTATTTGAGTCCCCAGCTCATTAGCATACACTTTCCCTACCAATTGGAGGTTCATGATCTTAGTGACCATGTGGGTTTTATTCCCCATTCTATACCCACTGTCTAGCACAGGGCCTTATACAGAGTATGAATGATGTTTCCTATAAGGCAATGAACATTCCTCCATGATAATATAGAAAATACTACTCCTCATTGATTACTTTCTCTTGCATAGGAAGTACTTCACAACTATTTACTTAAATTCTTACCTAAATTCCAATATGTATCCCAGTTTGTGTCATTGCCAAGTTGGTCTAATTGCAAAAGACAAGGATGACTGTGTGTGACAGAATCATTTGTTATAATTCTGTATCCTCCAATAGTCTCTAAAATAAAATAGAGAATAAAGACCAATTTTTATCTTCCCAATCTGTACTTTTTCTGTCTCTGTGGATTAATTTTAGAGCCCAAAACTTAGATAACAATGTCTACTGAGATTTTTCACTTCTCATTTTACTTTACCTAATTTTATTGCCTTGAGAGGCTTCATTGTACTTAATTTCAATGGTCAAATCTTTAACATTTTCACTTTCACTATGTACATCTTTAAGGGACACAGGACCACTCCTCCCCTCCCCGTAGTAAAAAAATAAATCCACATTTAACTATTGAGCTCCCCAAAACTACTAATAGCCTACAGTGACATAAAGCCTTATGGATAACATAAACAGTCAATTAACAAATATTTTGAATGTTATTTATATTGTATACTATATTCTTACTATAGAGTAAGCTAGAGAAAAAATGTTATTAAGAAAATGTGGACTAAACTGAAATCCTAAGCCCCCACTGACTGGACAAGGGGACCCCAGAGAAATCTAAAAACTGGGCATGGGTCCATTGATAGTTCAGTTGTCTCCCCAACCTCACTGGGAGAAATTCAAATACACTCTTCTCGATCTGAGATCTCCTGCTTTTAGAATGAAGATCATGGGGACATTATTTCTCTCCACCCTTTCCCTTCATTTCTCCCCTGTTCTGGTTCTATCCGTCAGGACCCCAGAGGGAATGTCATTTGTCAGCCCTGGGTTTGGGAGAACCTAGTTGAACTCAGCTGGTCCATAAGGTTCTGTGAGAAT